CTCTCATGGCAAACAAAGGGAACTAATGACATGCTGACACTGAGCTCAATGACTGAATTCATTAGGCGTGCACAGTAATTGCCGGGCTGCAACAGCAGCCGCAGCCACAGGCGGCAGCAGCAGCAGCAGCAGCAGCGTGCACGCAGCCGTCTATTCACAGGACAGCTGTCAGATAACAAGGAGAGAGAACAGATTTTTGGTGTTGTGCTGGAACTGAGTGGAGGAGGGGGGGGGGTAGGGGAGGAGGAGGTGAGGGAGGAGGTGAGGGAGGAGGTGAGGGAGGAGGTGAGGGAGGAGGTGAGGGAGGAGGTGGGGGAGGAGGAGGTGAGGGAGGAGGTGAGGGAGGAGGTGAGGGAGGAGGTGGGGGAGGAGGAGGGGACACCTGTTGTTAAAGGACCGCTTCAGTCAGACTGATGTCTACGTACATGGTCAGAGAGAAAGTTCACTTCCTGTGCGTCAGACGACGTCTGAACAGAGCCTGGTGTCAATCACACATCTTAGTCCAGTGTTGAGCTGCGTGACCTTTGACCTTCATAGCCACTTCACTGGAGTCGGGGTTTGGAAAGTGGACACGTCTGACGGAGTTTCTCTCTTTTCCTCCTAGAAATCAGAGGATGACGAGTTGGTGCTGACTCCAGATGGGACCAGGGAGTTCCTGACCTTTGAGATCCCCCTCAGTGACTCGGGGTCAGCAGGACTGGGGGTCAGCGTCAAGGGAAACCGCTCCAAAGAGAACCACGCTGACCTGGGAATATTTGTCAAATCCATCATCCACGGAGGAGCGGCCTGCGGCCTGTAAGGTAGGAGGAAGATGATGAAGATGGTGATGATGAGGATGATGATGTTGTTGATGATGAAGATGGTGATGATGATGGTGATGTTGATGATGATGATGATGGTGGTGATGATGAGGATGATGATGTTGTTGATGATGATGAAGATGATGATGGTGATGATGATGAAGATGATGATGGTGATGATGATGATGATGAAGATGATGATGATGATGAAGATGGTGATGAAGATGATGATGATGGTGATGATGAAGATGATGAAGATGATGATGAAGAGGATGATGGTGATGATGAAGAGGATGATGTTGATGATGATGATGAAGAGGATGATGATGATGTTGTTGATGATGAAGATGATGATGATGGTGATGATGATGATGATGATGATGAGGATGATGAAGATGGTGATGATGATGAAGATGATGATGATGATGAAGATGGTGATGATGAAGATGATGAAGATGATGATGATGTGTCCACAGTGCAGCCAAATTCTAATGATGTCAGAACTGTTGTTTTCCAGATCTTACTATAATCAATAAATGTTGGTGTTGGATAAAAATCTTTGGGCGAAACCTTTTCCCCCGTTTCCATCCTCACTCGATGGTTTCTTCTTGGTCAGTTTGTGTTGACAGCTGCCATGATAATGGACATAAAAGCACTCCTGTCTGTTGGAGATTAGAAACAGGATACACTCAGAGCTGAGACCATCAGACAGATCAGACAGAGATGACGGGGAACTCTAACCATCAGCACTGTTTGGGTTTGGTTTTTTTTTCCATGTCTAATGAAAATTCCGGCTGACTCTGACAGGATGGACGGCTGCGGATCAACGACCAGCTGATCGCTGTCAATGGAGAGTCGCTGTTGGGCAAAACCAACCAGGACGCCATGGAGACGCTGCGCAAGTCCATGTCAACAGAGGGCAACAAACGAGGGATGATCCAGCTGATCGTGGCCAGACGAGTGGCCAAAAGAACCGAGGTGGGCACAAATACCTGCAGTATTCCATCTGAGGGTAGTACTGTAGTAATACTCCAAGTTATCAACCAGAAAATGAAGCCCAGAGGAAGAGGAAGTCTGCCTTTCTACTTCCTGTGATTTAGCCGAAAAATAGTTTGAGGTTTCTTAGACTAAAGTGTTTGCCAGAACGTTAAAAAAGTTTGAGGTTTCTTAGACTAAAGTGTTAAAAAAATATATATATAATGAAAGAAGATAAATGTCTCACAGGTGAAACCAGACTGACAACCCACAAACATTATTATCGTAAAACAATAGCTAGCTATAAATGTCGTTTGCTAACAGGTTTGTGTCTACGTCGTCCATAAAAAAACTCACATCTCCCAGAATCCTCTTTGCTCACAGGTCAGGATTATAGCAACATTAGCCAAAGTCAGTTCACATTAGTGTAAAGAGGGCAAAGCTAAATGTTAGCCTGCTAAATTAGCCGTCAGACATTTTGATTAAAGAACCACAGCTGGAAGGAGATTGAAGAACAGACCTGTCAACACACACACACACACACACACACACACACACACACCACAGGCCAATAATGACAAAAATAAACTCTGAACAGGAACTGAACTGAGCTGAACCCCTCCCCCCCCCTTCCTCCTCCTCCTCCTCCTCCTCTTCACTGTCATGTTTTTATGTTCTCTCTACACTGTGGCCTGTCGCCTGTTTGAAGGCTGAGGCGGTGGGGGGGGGGGGTGGGGGGAGTTGTGTGTGTGTGTGTGTGTGTGTGTGTGTGTGTACGCCTCTGGCATCGCCTGACTCTCCTGCTCTGTTCCTCTTTTTCCAACCTGGTGTGTCAGAGTTTTGATTTCCCCTCGGCCTGTGGTAATTGAAAGCAGAAGCTGAAGAGAGCCTGGAGCTGTCTGTCTGTGACTGTCGGTCTGTGTCTGTCTGTCTGCCTGTGTCTGTCTGTCTGTGACTGGCTGTCTGTCTGTGACTCTCTGTGACTGTCTGTCTGTCTGTCTGCCTGTGTCTGTCTGTCTGTGATTGTCTGTGACTGTCTGTCTGTGACTGGCTGTCTGTCTGTGCCTGTCTGTCTGTCTGTGACTGGCTGTCTGTGTCTGTCTGTCTTTCTGTGACTGTCTGTCTGTGTCTGTCTGTGTCTGTCTGTGTCTGTCTGTGTCTGTCTGTGTCTGTCTGTCTCTCTGTGTCTGTCTGTCTGTGACTGGCTGTCTGTCTGTGACTCTCTGTGACTGTCTGTCTGTGACCGTCTGTCTGTGACTGTCTGTGACTGACTGTCTGTGACTGTTTGTCTGTAACTGTCTGTCTGTCTGTGTGTGTCTGTCTGTGACTGTCTTTCTGTGACTGTCTGTCTGTCTCTGTCTGTGACTCTCTGTGACTGTCTGTCTGTCTGTCTGTCTGTGACCGTCTGTCTGTGACTGTCTGTGTCTGTCTGTCTCTCTGTGTCTGTCTGTCTGTGACTGGCTGTCTGTCTGTGCCTGTCTGTCTGTGCCTGTCTGTCTGTCTCTGTCTGTGACTCTCTGTGACTGTCTGTCTGTCTCTGTCTGTGACTCTCTGTGACTGTCTGTCTGTGACCGTCTGTCTGTGACTGTCTGTGACTGACTGTCTGTGACTGTCTGTCTGTGACTGGCTGTCTGTCTGTGCCTGTCTGTCTGTGCCTGTCTGTCTGTGCCTGTCTGTCTGTGCCTGTCTGTCTGTCTCTGTCTGTGACTCTCTGTGACTGTCTGTCTGTCTCTGTCTGTGACTCTCTGTGACTGTCTGTCTGTGACTGTCTGTCTGTGACTGTCTGTCTGTGACTGTCTGTCTGTGACTGTCTGTCTGTCTGTGTGCAGCTTTTATGCATGTATACACATTTAAATTCAAGGCCCTCGTTGTGTGAGCACGTCCTCCCCCGGTGGACGTGCCGTGCCACTGACTGGAGCGCCTGGAGTCTCGTCAGTCTCTGCTTCACACTCAGAGCTGGAGGCGTGGCCCCGGGCGTCTCCGAGTGTCCGACTGTTTATGAAGAACCAGTGGGGAGAAAACGTCCAACATTTTCATGGAGTGAGACGTTTGACGCCTCTTCAGGAGCTGACATCTGTCCTCTAATGTTTACATCAGAGGTGTCCACCAGGGGGCCAGAGTGTCTACCTGCATTGAAAACATGACATATATATATTTACTCCTATGAACTGAATGTACTTAATATATACTATATTTGTAGGTTAGGTGGTGGTGGACTGCTGCTTTAGATTCTAGTCTGTCTATATCTATATGAAGATCTAGTGAAGCTAATGTCTTCAAAAAGACAAGACCCCTCCTCTCACCCCTCCATTAATGTGCCAGGAAACCAGGGTGGTCTAGAACAAGTCAACCCCCGTTTCAGGATTGTGTTGTTTATTTGAAATCTTTGTTTTCCCCAGGAGACAGCGGGGAGTCCCGCAGTGACCACGCAGACCATGGACACCACTCTGGACGACCACGAGCGACGGATCTCACACTCGCTGTACGGTGGCCTGGAGGGTCTGGACGACAACCTGATGCCCCGGCAGGGGGTGATGCCCCGGACCATAGGTGACAGAACAGACAGGAGCAGCTCAGGGTTTTACTGCTGTCGTGTCTGTGGTCGTGTCTGTGGTCGAACCTTGTTGATCCTTGTTTTTTAGGTAACTACCAACTGTCTCCCACCGTCAACATGCCTCAGAACGACACGGTGATCATTGAAGACGACCGCCCCCCCCTGCTGCCCCCACACCTCTCCGACCAGTCCTCCTCCAGCTCCCACGATGACGTGGGCTTCCCCCCTGACCCCACACCTTCCTGGGCTCAAGAGCCGCCAGATCAGCCCGACAGGTGACGTCAGGAATCTTTATCTATTCATTTGTCCTCATCTATTCATGTGACCTCCAAAGACCTCGGCTGTTCACAAACATGGCCGACACCCCTGATGGAGGGGGTTCATAGAAAGACCCAGACCGTATGTTAGTTGAACGACTGTTGACACTGCGGTCTGATGGAGGTCACATGATGCGAACGTCAGAACAAATCTCAGTTTCCTCTTCTTCTTCTCTAATTTAATGCCCTGCGTCTTCTCCTCGCTGCCCCCAGCCCTCGGGCTCCGGATGAAAATCACCCCGACTTGGCTTTTCAGAGGGAGGGCTTCGGGCGACAGAGCATGTCAGAGAAACGCACCAAACAGTTTGGAGACGCGGGGCAGCTGGAGATCATCAAGACGCGGAAGTCCAAGAGCATGGATCTAGGTAGGCTGATGATTCCAAACTGACAGGAAGTTGATTTTTATTGTTTGCTTCGGTGACGAAGATCCTTCCCTTCATCGTCCGTTGATTTTTCCTGTGGACGTTAAGGTTTAGCACTGAAGCTAACTGAAACTGAGCAACAACAGGACAGATGTTGATCACACAGATTTGTAGAATTCATCGAAGCAGGGAATTTAACTATTAGCACAAGGCTAACTAAACACAGTTGTGTTTGGAAATGTGCAAAAAATACCATGCTGTTGACACTTGACTAGCTTTAGATTAGCAAACAGAAATGAGGCCGAGTTACTGGTTAGTTAGTTATGACATTAATCTAGAAGTAGAATAATAACAATGGGACAAGAATAGAGCTAATGGTTAGCCACTCATAGCTAAAACTTATCTGAAAGTTCACTGTGTTATGGCTGAAAGTCAGTTTCAGTTTATCAAAGTGATGCTAAATACAGCTAGCCCAATTTGCTAGTATTCAGACAGAACTTAGCGAGACGTGTTTGTTGGAGTCTTTATGGAAACATTTGGTTCTCTCCGTGTTCATTCATCAAAGAGTAAAGACGACCTGATGTAGAAAACACAAGGGTTAGAGCACCGTCACCTGACCACACTCACACTGATGAATTCCTAAAAACAACAACAACAACAACAACAACACAACAGTCAGTCACCTCCAAACACCTCAGGCTCAGTGTCGACCAAACACAACTTCTGTCTGATGCTTCACCTTCAAACCTCCTGGAGCAGCTGCTGATTGGCTCTCAGCTCTGTCTCATGTCTGACCAGTCTGCTGCTGCTGCTGCTGCTGCTGCTGCTGCTCTAAACTTCTAACCAGTCTGGATTCTGTCCTCTTCTTTCCACATCCTCACCTTCTGCTCTTCCCCTGATCCTGGCATGACCTGATCCTCGTCCTACTTGGATGCAACATTTTTTTTTGTTTGCAGCACTTGTTCATGATGCATGTGGAATGTCGTGAGCACTAACTAAAACCCATAATATTTGTATCCTCCTCCTCCGCCCCCACCCCGCCCTGCCCTGCTCCACCCGGCCCTTCTCTCTTCTTTCCTCCCCCTCCCTTCCTTCCTTTAACAGTAGCCGACGAGATTAACCTCACCCCCCGTCCTGACGTCACCACAGGTAAGAATCCTTCATCTCTGGACCACGGAAGGAGGCTAAGGTGTAGCTAAAAACAACGATTAATAGCTAAAAGATAGCATTAAAGAGAGCTGGAAAAGGTCGAAGTTTTGCCCAACAACAGCTAACGGTTGATGCTATAGCAACGAAAAAGACCGAACCCATCCTGTTGTAGGACTGTTGTAGCTAACATTAGCTCTGGTGTCTGTACCAGGACTGTTGTAGCTAGTGTTAGCTCTGGTGTCTGTACCAGGAATGTTGTAGCTAACGTTAGCTCTGGTGTCTGTTCCAGGACTGTTGTAGCTAACGTTAGTTTTGGTGTCTGTACCAGGACTGTTGTAGCTAGTGTTAGCTCTGGTGTCTGTACCAGGACTGTCGTAGCTAACGTTAGCTCTGGTGTCTGTTCCAGGACTGTTGTAGCTAACGTTAGCTCTTGTGTCTGTACCAGGACTGTTGTATCTAACGTTAGCTCTGGTGTCTGTACCAGGCCTGTTGTAGCTAGTGTTAGCTCTGGTGTCTGTACCAGGACTGTCGTAGCTAACGTTAGCTCTGGTGTCTGTTCCAGGACTGTTGTAGCTAACGTTAGCTCTGGTGTCTGTACCAGGACTGTCGTAGCTAACGTTAGATCTGGTGTCTGTACCAGGACTGTTGTAGCTAACGTTAGCTCTGGGGTCTGTACCAGGACTACTTTTTTCTTCCAGCCTTCTTGCTGATGTGTGCCGACAGTGAACACGTCCGTCTGAAGCCGTACATGAAGTCCCAGTGTGGTGTGAAAAGCCATCAACCTCACCCTCAGTGAGATGCTAACAGGAGGAGACAGGCTGAGGAGAATGAATCACAGACTCCTGTTCTTTTTATTTCTCCTCCGTTTGTGGTTTCTGTTCAGGCTCAGTGTGAACAATGATCCTGACG